TTTATCTCAGAAAAATGGCTTAAGAAGTTTTTAATATATACAATTTTGTAGAGCTAGTCGAACTCTATCGAATCATGTAAAAATATTTTAATCTGTTTTTGAATTATTGATGCCTCAATTTTTCTATGCCAAAAAGCATAAAATTTCTGAAAATTTCTTAAGTTCGACATTAAAAGGTTTTGATAACTCTTACTATTTAATATCAATAAACCTCATTTTTGACAGGCTTTCATTTGGTATAAAATTCATTATTAACTCTATTTCAGAATATAACGGTACCACCTCTGTCAAAATATTTTTTCCAACCCTGTATAATTTTTTTAATTCTATTAAACAATATATCGAAAGTGACTGAATGATTCAAGCTTAAAAATACATGCCATAGAAACATAATACTGTATTAATTTTCAAAAGGCAATAGGTGTAGCTGTTTTTCGAATAACTTTCAATCGGAACTACATAAAGATCTGCGATTTTCACCGTTTAAAAGAGAATATGAATGTGCATCGAATTTTAAATTCCAAAGTTTTTCGATAAATTTTCTCAGGGTCTTCCACAAAGTATTTCGGGAGATGGATATCGGTGTGTGGTGTAAATGTAAATGAAGAGCATATCTAAATTCACACTCACATCCACTCTATATCCTTTTCAGAAAAATTCAAGATTCAATTATGTTAAATCATTATATGATGGTGGAACTATTTAAACGACACAAAATTGGGTAATCGATGAAATAAGTCTCTAGAATACTGCAATCTGATGTAAACAACACTTGAACTTCATATTGATAAGAAAAGTCATTTATTTTAGTATCACAATAAATTTTGCACCTGATTCGATTTTTAACATTTCCCATGCTGCAGTGTTATTTGTTTATAAGATCGATATAAATTATATCAGTGCGGTTTCTTTCAGAAAGGAACATATTAGACAGATATTTTAAGAATAGAATTAAATAAAGAAGTGGCAACAATCGATGATCTTAGCGCACGATAGACGAAATGCTATCACGATTTGCTCTTTTTTTAGTTTTATTGAATGTATTCAAATACTTTCATCTGTCGTTGGTGATGTGTAAACTATTTTGACTATACTAGAATGGATTCATTGACGGACACATAGATCGAAAAGAATAATAAAACGTTTATGCGGATTCGATTCGGCCTACTTTTTCAAAAATCTTTGATCAAATGTGTGTGCATATGGCGAGCTCCTCTCTCCAACCGTACCAATTTCTGCACATCCATATTCTATCCGAACCAACAACATCAAATAATTTACTCTTTGACTTTGTCATTACCTCTGACAGTTATTTATCGTCTCAATAAGGATATATTTGAGTAAAGTTTCTTTTAAATAACTGCGTAGTGATTATATTAAATATTATGAATAGTTAGTGTCTGCTAGGGAAGACTGCTTCTTGGTTATAATAAGAGGAATTTTGAAAAAGCAATAAAAGACGAATTCTTAATAGATACTTCGAAATATTTTATAAGTAGCGTTTCTGTGCATTAATCTTCATGAGAAATTCCATGGTAACTTGATAAATGGTAAATTTGAGTATATTTCAATCTTACGAAGAATAATACGTCTTCTATATAACATGTCTTTTGCGTTTAGAAAATAAGGAACATTAATATTCTCTTATCTAATAGATCCTACTGAACGAAAAGAAACGAAAAATTCTATTGACAGTCCCTCTTTCCTCAGCTGTATTGACGTCAATTGTTTAATGTTAAAGAAGAAAACAAATCAGAGATAAACCAGTCCTAAATATTTTTTCAAGACGAAAAGGGAGCATTTTATTGCTTTTCGACAACACTAAGATGTAGCATGCTGAAAAAAAATTTTATGCAATTTTACAAAATGCTGCTAATATTTATCAGTAAAAATATATTAGATATGGTATGAATCAGGTAATCTGAAATTAGCCATTTAAACTTGACCTTACTGGTCTTCTGTCATCATTCCATACGATCTTGGCAAGTAACAAATAGGAGTAACAGAGTTTTCATAGAAAAAAACAGAGATAAAAATCTGACTATAATCAAGTTTGTTAAAATCATCACAAAAAGTTGACTAGATGAGATTAAATCATCGATTATGATAAATTATAACCGAATTTCATCGACCAAAAACCATTAAAGCTGGTTTTTTAATCTTAAAGTCAAGGTCATTGGTAAAAGATTTTTTTCAAATCGATGAAATCACGAGGGTGTCCATTTGTGGACGTGAATGTTGATGAATGTTGACGTGAGTGCTTTTTTAGTATTGGTGAACACCCAAACTCACGTTCTACACTCCACACCAAGCTCATTCTCACGCACATCTTATTACTAAGCGCGAAACTAGAACAGAAGATTTCGGAGGTGTGGATGTGGCGTGTTCGAGTGAACAGAATGGTTGCATTTGCACCCACATCCCTTCAAGATGGCTTAATACTGTTCGATAACACTCAAGAACTTTGAACGTTTTCCACATTGGGAGTTTGGCGTTGGTGTAGGGCAACGAAGACTGACAACCGCACATCTATATTCAGCCATTGAGACCAACACCCTTTGGTACACAAAATTAATTTTGAGTTTTTTGTTTTTTTTGTGTCCAACGTACATAGTGTATAAGATAGCAAACTAATTATAGATAGAACATTATGAACAGAGTATAGATATGATGAGATGCCACCTGAGCTGTGCTGTTGTTTTGCGTTGCCTTTGATGAATATTGCCTTTTTCTTCCTTGCTTCGACAAGAGCAAACATAATTATTTTCAAGTGATTCTATTGTTGCCATGCTCAGACTGTAAATAAAAATCATTCGATGCATGTCTTTATTTTGGTTTCTCGGATTTACATTAGTTCCCATAGCACTGAATTTTTCTCTCTGGCAGACCCGGGTTCTATTATTATCAAGAGTCAGTACATTAGGTTGCTTTTTTAAAGATTTTCGATCTATCAATTTATTTTAGCCTGTGGAGCGTATTCGCTCGCACAAGAATGACTAGCACTGTGTGACGAATACGGCATTCTTTTTAAAACAAACTATGCACGAAAACATGAGATTCTATGTAAACAAACACAAGACAATATTCGTGATTCATACAAACCCTGTTGTTATGATGATCGAATGAGTATACCTGTGTGAATAAGGAAAATGATAAGAACCTATTCAAAGTAATTAAGTCTAATCCTCCAACAGCGAATTTATTCCATCTGAATTTGTTATAGTCGTTTCTTTCTCTTTCGATATTAATACAGTTTCTATCCTCGAACAATTACTATTCGAACTATCTGGTGTCAATGTCAAGGCTTGAACAACTCTATTCATCCATTAGTTTCATTTTCATCAATATTAATTTTATTTTATTGGATAATTCATTTGATTTATGGGGAAACTCGCTAGAACTCCGTCAACATACTTAGAATTTCCCCTGTTGGAGACATACTTAGAGCGTACGAAAAGTAGTGAGAGTGACACTTTAATACCGTATAGTGAACTTAAAGAAACTTTCTTTCTATATAGCCTGGTAGAGAAAAAACTCTAGCTTTCTATGTGCTATTTGACCTTACTTCAACTAATATCATAATAGCAAAATTTCGATAAGATCTGTTTCGTTCGCATATGTCACGGTTCTATGAATGCTAGTGAGTATTTTTTGAATAACTGTTGATAGAAATTAGATAGAGAAGTGCGGTTCCCACCATTGGAAAGGGGAGATGAAGATGCATCGAATCATATATTGCAGATTTTTCTAATATTGATTCCACTATAATCACTAGTTTATTCCAATGAATGAACAGACTCTTGCTGAGATACGCTGTTTTGCAAGACTAAACTGAAACCAAAGTTTGAAGATTTATTCGAAAATCTTGTTTGTATTAAATATGATACAATCTTTAATCATAGACTTTGACTTTGTGCGTTCATTTAAATTATGTGTACAACTTAGTTTCTCATTTCAAATATCTAAATATTGCAAATACTAATTTCTAACTTCATAACAAAAGTACATGTTATAATCAAACATTTCATGGATTAATTATCTTACTTCAGGTTCAAGTTCAATTGAATATATTATGATTAAGTTTATGCGATCTCCGTCCCTGCTCTCACAATAAGTCTCTTTTCGTTACCCTCTGCTTGAAAAATGTGCCTTGTTTCAGAAAAAAGTTTCATTATAGCATGTAGTGCTTTCTTTTCTTTCAAAGAGCATCGTAAGTTAAAATCTTTAGTAGAGTCGTTTTTCTCTGTATAAACTCTTTACTAAAACTCTTATATAAATATTAATAATTAATATGTTCAATATTATTAAGTACTATTTTTCAACAAGTAAAACATTTACATGAATTATTTTTAGCTAATATTCAACAATACTCATTTATACTTTTATGAGCAGCATATCAATCAATCAAACATATTCTATCCATATGTGTTAGATTTTATGTAACAGCAAAA